TAATTTGCACACTTAAAAACATCAATATAGTTCCCACACATCTTGATTAGATACATACTACTGCCATGTTTAGGATATTTCATTTTACTAATCTCCTATTCCTAAATTTTCTTTTCTCTTCCGTCCTTCTGAGGTGGGTAAAATGAGGACCCAGATTGTTTGTGGGCAAGAGGCCGACTTTGCAAAACGCTTAGAGTGGGCTGGAAAGCATTGCTAAGTGGCCTATAAGTCTAAGTGCTATTGCTATTAACTGTATTGATTCACTTAACAACTATGGTAAGAAAGGTCATAAAATGTGCCAACACTCTCTTATCAACCGTCTCGCTTAGCAACAGCAAGGTTTGGGCTCATGGTCACGAGTGGAGGACTGTCTATAAGATGGGTACCCCTGTGTAGATTGTGCATCATTTTTCTCTCTCTACCTTTGCTCCTTCCAGGATCTCTACTGAGGTGATTATTTTTTTGCAAAGCCTTGGTGGATGCAACTGGAGCAGTGAGATGCCCACGGGCAGCCCTTCTCCTCGGTGTGGCCCTCCCCTGATGCCAGGCCTGCCATGACCGCGTTCTTCACCAGTGTTCCCAATTGGATTCAAGATGTCAAGCAGGAAGAGGAGGAGGAGGAGGAGGTGGGCTGGAAACTAGTGGCCAGGCCCAAAGCCCGAGAGAGCGAGTGCCCGGGGAAGTGCCAGTATGAGCTGTCCGAAGCTGCCTTCCCTGGCGTGGAGAAGCTGAGAGCCAGCCCGGAAGCAAGACCGTACTGCTGCCCTCAGCTGCATTGCGGCAAGGCCTTCGCCTCCAAGTACAAGCTCTACAGGTAAGGCCCTTGCAGTGGGGGGGTGGGGGGAGCTTAGAACTGGCCAGGTCCTGGGTTCAAATCCTCGCCTGGCTTGGGTTAGGGAATGGGGGGAATATTGGCAGGTAGGCTGAGCTGCCCAGAGTCATCTTGCAGAGGGCTGGAATACAAAAACGTAATAGATAAAAAGAATACGTGGCTATTTAAAGACTCTAGTCAGTCCTTGAGTTACGACTGCAATTGAATCCTGCAGTTACGGTCGCCACAGGGTCACGACGTGACTGGCCCCGGCCTTATGGCCTTCCTTGTTTTCGCAGCGGTTGTTAAGCCAACGTACTTATACTTTGAGGGACTCCGGAGCAGGGGGGTCTCCAACCTTGGCCCCCTTTAAGACTTGTGGACTTCAACTCCCAGAATTCCTCAGCTGGCTGAGGAATTCTGGGAGTTGAAGTCCACAAGTCTTAAAAGGGCCAAGGTTGGAGACCCCTGCTCTGGAGCAACTTCAGAAAACTGGACATAATATTCCAAGCCTTCTTCTTTTTTTCCTTTTTCTTTTGATCATCAGTTATGCCATCACAAAATTAATTCTTGGGAAGTGTTAGAACACGGAAAGTGAATCTATGGGAAAGTCTTACTTCCTGGAGCTCAACCTGCCCTGGTTTGAGTTGGGTGGCTGAAGAAAATGAATGAATGAAGTATGAGTATCAGCAATACACAGTTGCCCTCCTTGTTTCTTTTTCTGGGGTCCTTGGTGGGCTCTGAGCTTGGTTACTTTCTTGTAGGCTTTTCATGACCCAACTAGATACCAACATCAGCTCTAGATGATGTGAGAGATCAAACCCCGCTCCCTTCTGGCATTGATGCTGTTCCCTAGTTGGGTTATGAAATGTCTGCAAGAAAGCAGCCAAGCTGAAGAGAGCCTCAAGGACCCCTCAGTCTTCTTCCACCTCTCTTCCTCCCCTCCTCCTTTTCCTCATTTAGAATAGAATAGAGCTGGAAGGGACCTTGGAGGTCTTCTAGTCCAGTGTTTCTCAACCTTGGCAACTTGAAAATGTCCGGACTTCAACTCCCAGAATTCCCCAGCCAGCGAATGCTGGCTGGGGAATTC